TGCAACCCAAGGAGAGGGAGACGTAGAGCTGGGCCACACAGCCCAGCCAGGAGATGGATTTGAGGGGGCTGCCCAAGTTCACCAGCGTCTGGGGCCCCACGCTGGTGGTGTAGCAGAGGTCCAGGAAGGAGAGGTTGCTGAGGAAGAAATACATGGGCGTGTGGAGGCGGGGGTCCCGCCACGACACCACAATGATGGTCGTGTTGCCCAGCAACGACACGGCGTAGAAGACGAAGACCAGCCCGAAGAGCAGCCTCTCCAACTGCGGCCGGTCGGACATCCCGACCAGGATGAAGTCCCCAAAGGAGCTCTGGTTGCCCTCGTCCCACGCCCCCTCCATCACCTGTAGGGGACCGAAAGAGTAAGGGTGAAACATAGCCCACGGCAAGGAGACACACAGAGGCACCGCCCCTGCCCATCCTGGCTAATAGCCAATGATGAATTTCTCTAGCTCTTTTTGGAACCCTGTTCAAGTCCTGGTCTTCACAGCGTCCTGCCGCGAGGAGTTCCGCAGGTTGCCTGTGCTCTGTGTGAAGAAAAACTTCCTTTGGTTTGTTTTAAACCTGCTGCCTATTCATTTCATTTAATGGGCCACTAGTTTTTGTGTTACGGGAACAAGTAAGCAATTGTTCCTTATTTACTTTCTCCACACGAGTCATGATTTTATAGCCCTCTATCTTATCTCCCCTTAGTCTCCTCTTTTCTAAGTTGAAAAGTCCCAGTCTGTTTAATCCCAGCAAGGAGACACACAAACGCTAGGGATACCATTCCCACCCATCCTCCTAACCTCCATGTATCTATCCAGATATTTTCTGAACGCTATAGAAGTCCTGGTCTTCACAGCATCCTGCAGCGAGGAGTTCCACAGGTTGGGCTGTGCACGGAGTGAAGAAAAACTTCATTTGGTTTGTTTTAAACCTGCTACCTATTCATTTCATTTAATGACCACTAGTTTATGTGTTATGGGAACAAGTAAGCAATTGTTCTTTATTTACTTTCTCCACACGGGTTATGATTGTATAGCTCTCTAGCATATCGCCCTTAGTCTCCTCTTTTCTAAGTAGAAAAGTCAGGATCTTTTTAATCTCAGCAAGGAGACAAGCAGAGGCCAGGGAGACCATTTCTACCCATCCTCCTAACCTCCATGTATCTATCCAACTCCTTTTGGAATCCTGCGAAAGCCCTGGACTTCACAGCATCCTGCAGCGAGGAGTTCCGCAGGTTGACTGTGCGCAGAGTGAAGAAAAACTTCCTTTGGTTTGTTTTAAACCTGCTACCTATTCATTGCCTTGGGTGACCCCTAGGTCTTGTGTGATGGGAACAAGTCAACAACTTTTCCTTATTCACTTTCTCCACACCTGTCATGAGTTTGTAGACCTCTCTTCTATTCCCTCTGAATCTCCATTTTTCTCAGCTGAAAAGTCCCAGACTTTTTCCTCTCTTTGATGGGACCTGCTGCCCTGGATTTTCAGAGTCCCCTCTGCAGAAGCAGTGGGAAGCCAAGGAAACCGAACGATTCTGTCTGAGGGAAGAGGACTGCCAAGAAACCGCAGTCTGATCGATTTACGGACACACAGACGTGCGCTTTAAAGCATCCCAGTTATCCACCTGTAACCGTGCATGGTGCTGAGGAACTCACAACTTCTTCAGCCACTTTTACACCCAGGCGGCCCCTGAAAGACTAACAAATATATCTAGCTAGTGTCCTCCAGCGAGGAGTTCCGCAGGTTGGCTGTGCGCTGCGTGAAGACAAACTTCCTTTGGTTTGTTTTACACCTGCTACCGATTCATTTCATGTCATGGCCACTAGTTTTTGTGTTACGGAAACAAGGAAGCAATTTTGCCTTATTTACTTTCTCCACACCGGTCATGATTTTATAGCCCTCTAGCACATTCTCACTGAGTCTCCTCTTTTCAAAGCTGAAAAGTCCCAGTCTGTTTAATCTCAGCAAGGAGACAAACAGAGGCAAGGGAGATCATTCCTACCCATCCTCCTAACCTCCATGAATCTATCTCGCTCTTTTTAAAAGCCTGTTATAATCTTAGCCTTCACCGCATCCTCTGGCGAGGAGTTCCACAGGTTGGCTGTGCGCTGAGTGAAGACATACTGCCTTTGGTTTGTTTTAAACCTGCTGCCTATTCATTACATTTCATTGGGTGACCCCTCATTCTTATGGGAAGAAGTCAGTCACTTTCCTTTATTCACTTTTACTACCCCCCTTATGATTTTATAGACCTGTCTCCTATCCCTCCCCCTTAGTCTCCTCTTTTCTCAGCTGAAAAGACCCGGCCTTTTTAATCTCTCTCTTCTGATGGGACCCGTTCCAAACCCCTCCGCATTTCTGTTGCCCTTTTCTGAACCTTTTCCAATGCCAAGAGAGCTTTTTTGAGATGAGACGCCTACTTCGGCAGGCAGTATTCAAGATGCAGCCGTCCCATGGATATATACAGAGTCAAGAAGATGTTTTCTGTCTTATTCTTTATCCCTTTTTTTAATGACTCGTCCCATTGCGATGGGGAGAACTTGACAGCCAGGTTCGACCTGGCCGCTGAAAGTCGACTCTTCTACTACCACTGACCTCTAAGGCGACGTCTACACTGGCGTGATTTTCCAAAAATGTTTTTAACGGAAAAGTTTTCCGTTAAAAGCTTTTCCGGAAAAAGCACGTCTAGATTGGCAGGATGCTTTTCCGCAAAAGTGCTTTTTGCGGAAAAGCGTCCCTGGCCAATCTCGACGCACTTTTCCGCAAAAAAGCCCCGATCGCCATTTTTGCCATCGGGGCTTTTTTGTGGAAAACAGTCCTGAGCTGTCTACACTGGCCCTTTTGCGCAAAAGTCTTTCGGAAAAAGGCTTTTGCCCGAACGGGAGCAGCATAGTTTTTCCGGAAAAGCAGATGATTTTCCATGAGCTCGTCAGTGCTTTTCCGGAAATTCAAGCGGCCAGTGTAGACAGCTGGCAAGTTTTTCTGCAAAATCAGATGATTTCGCGGAAAACCTTGCCAGTCTAGACACAGCCTCAGGGTTTCTGGTGTATTGATTCCACCCAGCTCCGGGTGGCTCCCAATTCGCTCAATTGATTAGCTTGATTCTGGGGTACATCCCCACCCCAACTCCTGGATAACAGATGTGATTTCATGGGGGAGACAGACACGTTTCTGAACTTACCCGGAGCTAGTGGTTAGCTCTGGGGCATGTCCCCAAAGTGCCACGGCAAAAATCCAAGAGGAAAGAATTGAAAAATATTTCAAAGGGCTGTTCCGGGCGGAAAAGGACTGGAACACGCCTCCTGTTGTGGGGCGAGGGAAGGAGGGAGAGAAATCAGGCCGCGGAGGTGGGGCGGGATGTCGATTTCGTCTCGGTTCAGTCTGCGACGTGTCGTGTCTCGCTGAGTTCTCGTGCCTCAGTGGGTTTTGCGGAGGGTGAGGGCGGAAAAGTCCGATACAGGGTGATCAGTGACTCCGCAACCTCCCTGGGCAATTTATTCCCGTCTCTCACCACTCGGACAGGCAGGAAGTTTTTCCTCATGTCCAACCTCAACCTCCCTGGCTGCAGTTTCAGCCCAGGCCGGTTAAAATCTTCCCCTCCGGCTGTAGTTCTCCACTCGTTTCGGTCCACGGGCCACCAGGCCAATCCAACCGTTTTCGGGGGGTGTCCCCCCCAGATGGGCCTGGGAGCACGTGGCGGGCGAAGGATGCTGGAGTTCGGGCGTCAGAGCCCGGCACCGACACGGAGTCATTTCAGGGTTTGCGGGGCTGGCTGCTTGGTGTCCCTGAGCCCCGGGTCCTATCCTTGAAGAGAGCCAGATAACCCCCCTTTTGTGCCCCCCCGACCCGCCTTGCCGGCGTAGATTGGGGTCCAGATTGTGCGCCCCTCTGTGCTGTGTGTCTGGGCCCAGCCCCATGCCTGATCTCAGCCGGGGCAGGGACGGTCGCTCGCTGTGTCTGGACAGCGCCCGGCCCCACCTGTCTCCCTGGTCTGTCCGTCTCTCCCTGCATCGTGTCCTTCCCTTCCCCACGTCCGCCTGCTCTTTCACGCCCTCGCGCCCGGACTCGCCTGTCTCCACCCGCTTTGCTCTTCCCAGACTGCTCCTGCCGGGGCTCCCCGAAGGGCTGACTGTCTACGGGGGTCCGGGGGTGGGAGACGTCAGCCCCTAACTCTGCCCCCGCTCTGTCACCCCACCTGGCAGGATGGGCTTGGGGGCACAGCCCCGCCTGCACTGGGACCGCGGGAGCAGCCTGAGGGGGAGCCGGAGGCGTCCCCCATAGGGGCCCCAGTGGGGTGCAAATGCCCGATACCGGTCCCAGAGATGGGAACATTCAGAAGGCTGGTGACGGGGGAGCGCGAAGGGGGCAGAAGGAGGTGTGGGGGGGGCAGAGACAGGCCTGGGTGGGTGCGGAGAAGGAGACGGGGGCGGAGAACAGACCGGGGGGCAAGGAAAAAGGCAGCAGGAGGAGATGAGTGTGTCAGAGAGGCACGGTGGACGGCTGGGAAGCAGCCGGATCCCCACACTCCCCCGACCCCTTCCCCACAGCTCTGGGCTCACCCTCAGCCTGCCGGGGGTCGCAAGTGCTGACAGGACGGACTCCGTCTCTCCGAGGCTCCTGGCATCTCCTCCTCGCCCGGCCCGGACTCCACAGGGCGGCGAGGGAGGCAGGGAAGGGACTTTTGTGTGTGGCGGGGGCGGCCCCCTCCCGCCCGTCTCCCCAGGCGAGCTTGGCAGAGCCGCAGGGACCAGCCAGAGGGGCCGGGTTCCCTGGGAAAAGCCATCAGCCAGCTGGTGAACAACACCACCAGCCAGGGAGGTAAACAGACCTGGGGGTCCAGGCGCCGAGGGGAAATCTTGGGAGGTCTCCGTTCAAACCTTGTTGGAAAAACTGCAGTACCTGGGGGCAGTGGCCTGGGGTGCAGAGGGGTGTGGGCACCGCAGTGACAGGACAGCGCCCGGGTGCAGAAGGGAGGGACACTGCAGTGACAGGGCAGTGCCCTGGTGCAGAAGGGAGGGGACACTGCAGTGACAGGACAGTGCCCGGGTGCAGAAAGGAGGGGACACTGCAGTGACAGGGCAGTCCCCGGGTGCAGAAGGGAGGGGACACTGCAGTGACAGGACAGTGCCCGGGTGCAGAAAGGAGGGGACACTGCAGTGACAGGACAGTGACCGGGTGCAGAAGGGAGGGACACTGCAGTGACAGGGCAGTGCCTGGGTGCAGAAGGGGGGGGACACTGCAGTGACAGGGCAGTAACCGGGTGCAGAAGGGGGGGGA